ATAAAAGAACCCACTTTTGATGCCGTATAATATTTTAATTTTGTTCTCTTTCAACTTGTGGAAAAATTGTATAGAGAGAGATGGTGTCGTCAGGATGGGGTAGGTAGCATCATACTATCTCCAACAAGGGAAATAGCTAGTCAAACATTTGATCTGCTCTCAGCAACTCAAACAAAGTTGGTTAAATTATCAGGAAACTGATTTCTTTTTAAAAATACCTTTATTCTCAGAAGCAAACTCATCTTGGTGAGTTTTGACAGAATCTGTTGTTACTGGCAAGCTGCTATGGTGGTGGTCTCTACAAGGCTGAGCTGCCAAATCGATGAAGACCCAAGGAAGGCATCGAAAAGCCTAGTGAGGTTGACAATGAAGAACCCGCGCTAAATGACCAAAATAACCCTCAAGAGAGAGTCAACGTGAGTCAAATGACGGATTAGTGGATGAAATGTTCGAATTTTGACGGTGGGGGAACATTGATAATAAAATTTAATTCAAGCTCTTAATTCGCTAAAAAAAAAGATCAGGGGGTAAATTGAGAGTTATGTACAAGTTCAGGGGCAATTCAGCAGATTACCCTTTTGGAAAATTACACCATAGTATTTTTTTCTTCTTTCGAAAAATCCACGTGTACTTTTCTGAAATTTATTATGTCCCCACGAAAGAAGATAATAGTCAGATTCTCATCCACAAAATCAAAAGATATGTAGGCCTCCTGTCACATACAGAATTGTCTAAGAAATAAATTTCCAACTGTTACTTTCTCTTGCACCCGAAGTTATTAGGTTCAATTCTCCCTTCTCTTAATATCGCTTGTATAAAAAATGAAAAAAGTTCTTAGAATATTATAAGAAGTTTAGTTAAATTTCTGTAGCTTTATTGTTAGTCCACTCCATCCTTTTGATATGGAAAATACTAGGGAGACCAACTTGGGAGACCAACTTGGGAGACCAACTTGGGATACCAACTTGGGATACCAACTCTCTAATAGAGCGTGGGACCCATTGCATTGGTGGGCTCCACCTCTATTAGGGAGTTGGTATCCCAAGTTGGTCTCCCAAGTTGGTCTCCCTAGCATGACCCTTTTGATATTGTGAACAAGAAAAAGTACTTAAATTGGAAAAGCCATGAGATGAGTATCTAGAATTGTACATAAATATTTCAGACTCTAAATTAAATGTGGATGTCACTTGTCAAAGCATTGAGCCCACTGCACGTGGGAAATTAGAAAAGTGGCAGCCATCTGAAGTTAACGTAGTCTTAATGCTGAGTTTGTCAATGTGTGACTAAAATCTAACTGGAAATATTCCACATGCATCAACATCCTTAAGATCAATTCTATTAATGGAAGCTACCCCAAAAACATTTGTCAACAGATTAGACGAATGGATAGAACTTTCTATTAAATATGAGGTCAATAATTCATCTATGCACATGCTTCTGATTGTTGAAAATGGATTGTTCTCTACTCTGTGTGTTAGAACAAGTACTTTAGGAACCATTGGCCATCGCTTGTGTACAATAACATGATCAATATGAGGAAGATGTTGAAGCAACCGTGGCCTCTTTCAGTGTCTGTTACCTTCTTTTGCAGCTTATGCTTCTGGTTTCAGGTGTCCATGACACAAAATTATACGACCGATCCATCTGAAGGTAAACTAGCCATGCTTTCCAAAGTTGTACATACATATTTCTAAGCATCTTTTAAATACAGAGTATATATATGTTGTTTTTTTCTTCCTTTTTGCGATTTCTGGACAGTCTAGTAACGTAAGTACGTTATGTGATGTGTACACAACGATTGAATTGAGAGTGCAGTGAGGGCGTTGAACTCAATATTCAAGCAATGGGACACGCAAGCCGTGCCGGGGCTGTGGAATATCAGTGGAGAGCCATGCAGTGGATCTGCCATTAATGGAACCGACTTTGAGGATCCAGCTAATAATCCAGCCAATAATCCAGGCATCATTTGTGATTGTACTTATGAAAAAAATACTACCTGCCACATCACCCAACTGTATGTTACCCTCTCTCTCTCTCCATACTCTTAGTCTTGTGTTGTTGACTGTAGCAACTCCATTAATTATGTGTTAGAAAACTAAGCAGATCATGCCTGATTTATCAATTGTAATATTAAGTGCCTAACTGCTCAATCTTTTTTCTTTCCAGGAGAGTTTATGCTCTGAACAAACGAGGGGTGTTTCCAGAAGAATTTGTGGCTTTAAGATATCTGACCTATTTGTATGAAGTTTTTCCAACCCCTTCTCTGTTGTTTGGTTTATCACAGTTTACATTTTCATATAAAGACACAGGTTTTTTACCGTTCAAAATTGTCACAAATATTTTTTATACTTGGAGATTAATCGCTGGTCGTTTCATTTTGTTTCAATTCTTGTAGGAACATTGATCGGAATTATTTCACCGGTCCCCTACCAGCAGTCGTCGGCAATATGTCTGCGTTGATGATATTGTACGTAGTGAGAGAGCATTTATTTAAGTTTTGGTAGAAATTTTTTGTCTGTCAAATACAATTTCTATAATTGACTCTGGTTCTATTTTCCTTTATCTGTTTTGTAAGCTTTAAGGAACTACTTACTAATTATAATCTTTGAGGTAAGACTAGCTGCTTGGTGATTGGCTTTACTTTTTGTTTTTGGTCCTGAGATATAAGCTGGAATTGTATTTCTTACAAATCAATCAATTTTGTTGGTTTATTTCTTCTTCGAGGACATGAAACATAGATCTCCCAAGTGAGTATTACACCATACGGTAAAAGAAGCACATAGTACTATACAGAAAATTATTCTGTTTTTATCCTGAATTATAAACAGGTGCTAATATCTTTAATTGATATATTTCCATTCAGGTCAATTGCCCAAAATTCATTCTCTGGACCTATCCCCAAGGAGCTTGGAAACCTTAAGGACCTAACTATCCTGTAAGCAATGAAACATGACCAAACACAACTAAATTTTGTGTTTTAGACAAATGAGAAATGATCTATTGGGACATGTTAAATATAGAACCCCCTATCATTTAAATCTATACCTCTT